TTGCGTGCGAGAAGTGGTGGCCGATCTCGACGTAGTGGTGGCTGTGCTTCGGGGTGATGGCGAAGCGGGTGCTGTACGGGAAGCAGTGGGCGCTCTGGTAGTGGGCGCCGGTTTAGTCAACGGCTTGCTTTCCGTGGCCTTAGGAGCGGTGGATCGGGTGGTTGTGGTCGTAGTTCTCGGCGCAGACGACAGAGTTGTCGGACGAGTGGTTGCCGTCACTCGACTCGCAGCTGGTTTTGTAGGACCGCCGCCGGCTTTGGGGGCCGCAGTCGATGCGGACGTCAACCGAGAAGTGGATGTCGGGGTAGTCTTCGGACGCACGGCTCCAGTAGTGGTCGCCTTCTTATCGATCGCTGCTTTTGTAGCCGACGCTGACTTAGCAGCCGGTGATGGCGTCTTGGCCTTCGAGTCTTTGACCGCTTCATTGACCACTTGTTTGCAGACCTCTTGTAGTTTGATGGGTGTCTCAGGGGTCGGGACTTCCTTCAAGTCATCGATGAGCTGGTGTTCAGTGTTCTGTTCGACGACAGTCTCAGTGGTCTTCACTTCTTCCGAGTTGTCGTTCACGTGTTGTTCAATCATCGGCTCAAATGAAGTCGTTTCAAGAGCTTCATTCGAGTTCATTGAGAAATCCATTTGTGGGACACTCTCGACGGCCATCGGTAGTGATATCTCATGGGATTCATAGCTCGTCTCTTGATTGACAGCAATGGCCGACGTGTTTGTGGTATTAATAAGTGTCGTCTCGAAAGCTTGATCTGAATGAATGTCCGCTTGTGTTATAAATGACGAGACATTGATCTGTGAATCGCTTTGAAGTTCATTACTATAATTGTAGTCATTTTGTACGGGTTTCGCGTTTTCGTAAGCAATGGATTCGACATTTTCGGCGCCAGAACTGAATTCATTGAAGTCTTGGTTCATGTCTTGATTATAACCATAGTTGGCTTCAACGACCACATCATTCACCACTTGATCCCAGACTTCTTCCTGTTTGACTGGTGTCTGGTTCGGCACAAACTCAGTGGCCTCTGCTCTTAGGGGTTGATCGATGTGCTGCTCGAATGCAGTCTTAGGATAGCTTTCATCGAAACCATAATCATTATTAAACTCTTTGTCCACTGTTTCTAACGGCTCTATCGAGTTCTTCACGAAATCTATTTGATCCATAGTCTCGACGATAGGCTCTGATGCGTTAATGGATGACTCAATCAAATCTTGCGGAACCTCTTGAGCCCCAAATTGTGACACTTGTGGTACAGATTCTGAAGACATGAAATCATCGAAGGGATGAGGATTGGAGTCATTGGACTCAATGTCTGCCATCAAATCAATGTCTTTCGATGTCTTTATCGGTTCCTCAAACTCGAAGTTTTGTTGAGTTTCTTGTGAATAGAAATCCGGTTGAATCTGATTCTCAGATATTATATCGGGTTTCGATTCTTCGCCATTCATTGGTTCCAAATGAGATTCTTCGGTCTCGTGGCGCGCATTCAACTGATGCACCACTTCTTCAGCTTCTTCTGGAGTCATGTGTTCCGAGAGCAGTGCCTCTCGAATCAAATCAGTGTTTGAATCAATTTTATTGATATCTGTCTTCAAATCATCGCTTTTCAACTCATTCTTCGACTCATTAGATCCCAAATGAAGTTCCGATTCGAGTCTTAAGGCGATGTCGTTTTGCTCCCAATTGTAGTCGTTTTCAATCCGTTTCGTGATTTCACTCATATCTGAGTTAATCTTTTCGTAAACAATGGAATCGACGCTTTCGGCTCCAGAACTCACATCATTGTAGCCATAGTTGGTGTCGTCGACCACATCGTTGAACACCTTTTCGCACACCTCTTCCAGTTTGACGGGTGATTGGGTTGGCGTCACATCATTGGGTTCGGGGCTCAGGTGTTGGTCAATGTCCTGCTCGAAGGCTGTGGTGTAACCGCTTTTGTCGAAACTGTTACTCATATCCAAATGGGTGTCCGCCGTCTCAAACGACTCTCGCGTGCGGTCCACGACATCAACATCTTGAGCGACATTCGGGTTGATAATCGGTTCAGACGTTTGATTCGAGTCCTGATTGAAGATTATTGACGACATGTTGTTGTCGAGAGCGTCGCCACTCATGGAGTTGTAGTCAACAAACGGTTCCGACGTCCTGATGGGTGTTGAGGCAAACGCCTGCTCTGAATGGTCTGAATGCACGTCCGCTTGGGTTACAAAAGATGTCGAAATTTCTGATATCTTCGAGATATTGATCTGCGAATCGCTGTGAAGTTCGCTGTTATTTGCGTTACCGATAAGCTGTTCGTCGAGTCTGTCGTTCACTACAAAACTATTTGTCTGTTCCCTTGAAAACGACTCGTTATTACCAATGGGTTCGAGGAAATCGTTTCCAACTTTATTGGAGTTTGCATTCAAATCATAGGAAACATTGAATGGATTATTGGAGTCATCTCTCGACACCTCATTCGCACTGTTCTTATCATTCATTCCCATCAGTGAGTCGTCGCTCATCTCAAAGTTGAGTTTCGCTTTATTCAAGTCCTGTGAACCTGTACTCCAACTCAGAGGTCCACACGAACTCAAATCAAACGGATTGTTGCCATTCTTAAGCATTTGCTCGAACTGCGAGTCGTTGTATTGGAAACCATTTCCGTTCAAACCGTTGGTCTCTTTCGGAGACATTGGTTTGAAATCCGTGGCTCTCAGTTGATCCATATCTTTAAAAAATATCACAATCGTTGTGATGTTATCACTGGAACCGTCATCTTTGGCCGCTTTGGACAGATGTGCGGCAATTCCTTCAGAGATTTGTTGGGCGCTATAGTCCTCGTGTTGACAGACATACTCGTAGACCAGAGACGTGGCGTCGTCTGCCGTCAACTGATCCCAGAGTCCATCGCAGGCCAGTATCAAGAAGTCAGTGTCCGAGCCAATCACCAGTTCAGTGACATCGGGCTCTGAGCTGATGTACGGCTTATGCTCGGGGTCTCCAACAGCTCGCGACACGGCTAGCGTGCCGTTCACTCTCCAGGTGTCGACATACGCCACGAAACCTCCCAACTCTTCAATCCGTTTGCGCTCCTCTTCGAGCTCCGGCTTATGCGGAGTCATCACATCAATGGGTCGGCCATTCTTGACGACCACGGCCTGCGAGTCGCCCAACCATGCGATCCACAGCTTCTTCTGGTCCTCGACGAGCGCGCACAGAGCGGTCGACCCGCTTTTCCTGGACTCCCGGGCCGACCGCTCCAAGTAGTGCAGATCAGTGATAGAGAAGGCCTCCTTGAACGCCGCCACTATATCCCCGTCCAGAAACGCCTGAGTCTTGACTAACGTGTGGTGCAAGTGGGCCGACAGATAGCTGGCAGCGTCGACACCCGCGTGCCCGTCAAATATCGCGTAATAGTTGTATTGTTTGCTTGTCTGGAGATAAGAGTTTTCAATTAATATTCATGTAATGCTTTTCAAAGTTTCCAAAAGTTTAAGATAAGTTTTCTACTCATTTATATTCAGTACAATAATTGGCAACAATTTATCTATTCGTTCAGTTGACTGATAAACAGTGTGTGCGATAATAATGAATTTATAAATAAATTGATTCCTCGTATGATTACTCCCATAAAACACTTATACATCAGCCCTTAAATAAGTTTTTATAAATGTTTATTTTGTCATAAATTCTCTATAACTTCATAACTAATAAAAATTATTATTGCGGTATTATTACTAAGCATTAATGTGAAGCATTTTTAATATCCAACAAATTACGGGTAAACTTAGTTTCAGCAACAATTAATCATTTAATAAGTAACTATCAATTGAATCACAAAAGCTTTTATATTTTCATCGCATAATACAACAAATATCATAAACTCTTAGATCATAAATATTGTTATATTTCAACACAATATTCATTCAACAAATGTTTGCATAAAATTATTTCCCGTTATGATAATCTTAGAGCTAATTATTCTCATATCAATCTTATGCCTAATTTATATGTAAACAGAATTTGCTTTTGAAAACATTCAGATATTTCTGTTTCCCAAGTATTTCACGTATAAAAATAAAATGAATTTCCAACAAATGATTAATATTTTGATGAATAGATAATAACATTTAAACAAACAATTAATTAATTAAAAGGCGAGAGAACTGTACTGTAAATGAATGGCTAAGAATAAGATTGAAAAGTGTGGGCAAAAACGTTATACTAATCGAGTAGTAAAAAGAGATAATTAATTGTTTGTCAAAAATATCTTAACTATAAGAAAAAGCATGTCTTAGAAGTCGTGGACAAATTAATGGATTAGAAATTTTAATTAATCGACAAAAACTTTTCCCTTTTCATAATTAGCAAGACTCGAGTCAATAAACGACTCATACTATTAGTATCCAAAATAAACTCTGTTTACTGTCATTACAAATCAATAAACAATTAAATCCTAAAACTAAAAAACTAAAAACACAATCAAATTGAACGAAAAAAAGTAGAGGAAATCAAAGGCTAGAAAAGTAGACTTACTTTCAGATTGAGTGCTTTATTGAGGTCGTGGAGCACGACATGCCTGTCCTCCATCTTCCTGCGGGTATTCTTGATAGCACAGAGCGATGAGACAAATGTTTGTCCGGAATATTCTTTGGCGGTCTCGACGGCCAGCTCCGGGTTCTCTTTCCACGTGTTTATGTATTCGGTTAAGTATTCCAGTGATTGAGAGTACAATTCATTTGAGTGAAGGCCTGCCCGAGAGTGAGAAATGGAGAGATAAACGCAAAACCATTAATACAACAAATACTCGTTTCTCGCGAAAACGTATGAGTCATTCGGCACTCGTTTTTAATGCAATTATTAATATATAATTAATAGTTTTGCAAGAAATGGCAATCAAATAAATAATACATTAGACAGGAGTGGGGCAACCAATGGTGGCTACAGACCTGGTTTCGTGTTGTCCACACAGTCGTGAGATTCGCCACTGGTTTCGGCCAAACCTAGCTTTCGGGCCACTATTGAGGCCAAAGCAAAGGCCAACGGATACGGACACTTCCTATGGGACGGCACATACACTTCATTAGTCAATATACTACTTGAAAAATCAGTAATATTTGCCACAATTATTGCACAAATAGACACCAAATCAGCGAAACAGTACACTATTATTAAGAACTCATTAAAAAACTCAATAAAACTTTTCTCACTCTATGCGGTACTAGTCGTCGACATGAGTTAACAAAAGTTGTGTGAATTAAGTATAGAGTTATCCGTGTTTGTCGTCCGAGACACACAAAAAATGATTAACAAAATGCAAGACTCGGAGTGTCTTTTAAGTCTATGTCTACTATACTGTCTGTATGTCTTGTATGGCCTAACATTTGTCTTGTATTATACAATATGTATAAATAGCGATCAGAATAGACTCGCAAATATTTGAGATAAAAGTGAAACAATTTCTTATGCAATCAACGCATCAATGATTTCGACGTCAATTTTTGAAAGCAATTCAATAGTCATTTAAACTCTTTTGCTAACCATTAGACTCTGTTTGCCGTATAAAAGGTATAAAAACTATTTTAGACAATAGCTATGAAACGATAGTGTTATTCACATTGAATATCCCTATGAAATGAGATGGAAATTTGCATAAAAATTAGGACAGTCTGTGAGAATTTATAGTTTAAACATTAAACGGATAAAACAAGAAAAATAAAAGTAAATATAAAAAAGTTTATAATTGTGTACACAATGTATGTTATAACAAAAAACTACTCATACTTTGAGAATGACTCATAACATGATATTTAAATGCATCGATAAGTTTTAAATATCTTTTTATTGTATTTAGTTTTTTGTTATTCACATCAAAACAAAAAAATATTTACAGAAAAAAATGAATATAAAGTTTGTATTACAAACGAAAAATTGTTTTATTACTTCTAATACAAAATAGAAATAAATTATAAATTAAATTAAATTAAATTAAAGTCAGCGAAATGACATTAAAAACAAAATTTAATTAAAGACTTACAGCAATACTGAGCACTATTTTGTCAAACAATTGAGTGAATCAAATGAGTGACTATAAGACAAACCCTACGTTGAGTTCATAACACTAAATAAGTTGATAACAAATAACTTTTTTAATATCCCAAACACTACTGACTCTATGCTTAATAACCAAGTCTTGACTTCACATTAAACTAACGCTAATGTTATGTAATGTGTTTAGAGAAGTAGAAGTTCTTCTCATAATAATAATTACTACTGAAAAGGCTTTTTGCAAAACTTGTTGCAAAAGAGAGACTTCAATGTAAGCATAAAATACTTCGTGCGCTTAAAATGAGAAATAATGGCTAAAAATACTAGTCTATAGTCTGTTGAATGCAGGCGAAAGTGTTGTGCACCGAAAATATATACCATTTTCTGTCTTATATTAAATAACTTACACTTCAATGCAGACACAAACACCAAATGTCTGTTTATTTTCATAAGATATTTATGCAGACATACGGCCAGTAGAGTGAGTAGTGATGGAGTAGTAGTCGTATTGAGAATTTCAATTCAATGTTACTTATGATGGCTTTTGTTGACACAATAGATAACACATAACATTGGCTCACAAACCAATCATTTGGTGATTGACAATAAGGGCCACGAATTCATTACATTTTGCAAAAATAAATCAAATATTTATCGCAGAAAAAACTTTTTTCTATACTAATTGTCTGAAGGAATTTCATACAAAAAATATACACTAAACAAAACTATAGAATATGTGGCACAAGAGTTAGTACACCTGTTCCACTCGCAAACAACACTTTATATACCTGTACCTCAAACTCATACAATATATTATGAATTACAAGAACTTCGAGAATTTACCGCAAAATGCAAAAAAAACATGAAATCAAAATACATGTTTAGAAAATTATTAAAAAATGCACAAAATTTCGATAAATTATTTTTTGTTTTTATATAAACTTTTTCTTATTGAATAAATGCATAGTTTGTGCGTAAAAATGCATTTGAATACTGTAGGAAACCTTTGGGACAGCAATAACAATAAAAGTAATAAAAAAATTTCATATAATTTTTGGGCACAAAATAGTTGTCGGCAATAATAATTAGCGTTAAATAGATGTTTCATGAGATCTACTCAAATGCCATCAAATGTACACCTATTTTGACAATTGAGATGAAGTGAGAGAATATAATACAGATTTAAAGTGTATTATGAAATACATTATAAGCCAATGACCCGAAGCCAACATTGGATTCAAGTTTTTACAGTCGAAACACAAAACAATATTTTTGAAGAGAAAGGAGATGTGAACACGAATTCTGACATTTTGTTGCCATAGATTAGCACTGAATTTATATCAGCTTTTGTTTGGGTACTGGAATCGGTCTCAACGTATCGGTTGAGTACAGTAGACATGGATTGGGTTGCGAAAGAAGTTATGTTTAATAAGAGATTAAACTAAACATTGTTTTCAATATAAACATTCAAAATATGCATTGTTTCGCATATTTGTATGCAATTCTTGGCATTGTATTACTAAAACAACACATTATACCTTCAAATAAGTCTGCATTTTCTTATATGGATCTAAATCTATGCAAAATATTTAGCCGGTTATCAAAAATCATCAATTATTCATAGTTTTTAATCAATTCATATCCAATGAACAATAGATTCATCACATTATATAATAAATTCTCAAATATTCAGCTATGAATGGGAAAGCATTTTTGGGAAACACATGTAAATGTCTCGAGTGATTAGTGTTTGACAGCACACCATATACAAAACCTATGAGACGTCTAGCCTTTTAATGAATGGAAATATGAAAATAATAAAATACAATAAAATAATGAAAACCCTTTCCCATCGACTCATAAATAATACACACAATGATAGCAACGAAAGTCACAAATGAATACAAAACGTATCATAATTTTCGGCTAAAATAGCTGTCAAACGATCGTTAAATGTTTTTCGACAAACACTTTGTGTTAAAGTAATTCCCGAAAACATTAGACACAAAGTGTTGGCTCAAACGTGGGGCAGATTTCTCAGACCGATATATACGATAAAACATATATCAAAACCAATTCACACACTCGTACGCAAAGACACATAAATATTGTTTTATTGGTTGCATATGTCGTAAAAAATAACTTATAGTATGAGACAAAAAAACGAGACCCAAGTCTCAAACGATTGCAATCGAAATGAAATATATTATGCATTCATATTTGCATTCATTAAAATAAAAATCAAATAACTTCTCAGCCCATCGTCTAAGAATTTAATTCATTAATAAATAAAATACAAATAAAATTTAAAAATTCATTGAACTTATCAGCAAAAAACACAAAATTTAGATCTCATTTGGAAATCGCATTAAAAGTATTACATAACATAAAAATGTCAGATTTTAATATTCATTCAATCGTTGCATTTAATAGTAATATATTTCGTATCGAAAGTGAAAAAAGATATTTAATGCAAAAAATTAATGTTTTGAAAAACTGGTTGAGAAAGAAGTGTCTGAAAGCGATTGGAAAGTCAGTCACAACTTGTTATTCAAGCGATTATTTTATTCAGAGAGAGAGAGAGACTGCGAAGACACCGATTGTCTACATTCGGTGCACATCTCACAGTCAGTCCGATGGCAGGCATGGGATGGCATTATGGGAATACCGGTCACAACCATTACATAGAGACCCGATCGCACACTTCCGTTAATGGTCTACCAGTCAAGCAAACTTCCATCATAGGCCTACCCCTACCCGTCCTACCAGTGCCTTCTCTAATGAACAAAACTTTTATTGCAAGTAATGATCACAACAATCGTTACAGTAATGGATGAGACCATTGATAGGGCAGACAAAACACATTATATACCACTCTATCAGACATTAATTCAATTCTATAAATACTATTTGCTATTAATTTTGTAATACTTATCTATAAATTGAAATCAAACACACATTTGTGACATAATTATTACACAAATACATTCAATCAAAAACTATTTTAAGCCCTATTTTAATGAAAATAAAAGTCAGATAATGATAGCAACAAAACAATAATAATAATTATTATCTGTTTTGTCTGTAATCTAATTTAGCTTTTATTTCGCTCATTAATAGTTAAGAAGTAAATTTCTATCGCATTGAGTAATTAGTGAACAAAATAATAATTATCGTTGGAATCGATTCATTAGATTTGCAACCAAAATACAAAGTATACAAAAAAATATGACTGAATCGAAAATGCATTGAAATTGTGAACAAATATTTGCCTGCAAATGAACTCCAATAAGTCGATTGAAAAAACAAAAAACAAAAAATTAAATACAATTTTAATAGCATTACAGCAAAAGGTTATCATAACAGAGAAATCTGTTCATACAATACATGTTTAGAGAAGATTCTGGTATTCAAAGCATTTATATATTTAAATTCAGTTTAAATAATACACTACAAACAAAATGAATTACAAAATAAATTGTTAATCGCTTTCTAATCGGTTAAACTAATAATAGAGTAAACCATTTGCCAACAAAAAATGATAACCAGTTAACAGTGAATTTCCAAAAAACAAAAAATAACTCAAAAATGCTTTCATAATATTTAACTCTTAAAAATCTAATCTAATTGTTTGGCAGTCGGATCTCGAAACTCAGATATGAAATCAAAAAACAAAAATTAAATGAAAACAAAACCAATTTTCGATAACCAAATTTTACGACCGATTTTCAATTAATCATTCAATTTAATAAACTGTAAACAAAATTATCATTTATTTCGTGAACTCGGGTTAAAATGCAAATCAAAAATTCAATATTAATGTGTAAAACAAGCGCCGATTCAATGCATACCATATACAGTAAGAGAAGAGAAAATATCTTCAATTTTATAGCAAATAAATCTACGTTTGATGGCAAGTCCAGCCCTACCATCAAAATTTAGAGACCAGTCTACCGGTGACTACCAGTCCTACAACATTCTTATCGAAAATGTGAGCTATTTTTGCCAAAACTCTATATAAGGGTTTTGCCTTTAGTTTTCTCATTTTATCTTATCGTTACTTTTCATTGAAAAAAGTATTCAACATTTGATTTACAGCGAAATACAAATTATAATAATTATCAATGAAAATAAATCATACTTTCACTATTAAAACTAAAAATTTTAATTAAATTTATAGTAGAAATTTACTCTAAATATTAATTATACACTTAAAACAATACACGATATTCTACCAGAAATCCGGTGAAAAATAATAAGAATTTCATTTCCAATGTTAAACTAATTTACAAAATCAACTCATATTTCAATTAACTTCGACTCAAATTCTCTCATAAAACTACAAATATTATAATAAGTTGTATATTAAATTACAGACAATTTTTGTCATAGTAATCTCAATCTATTCAACACTAAGAGATAATCTAACACTGAATGCAAATATCATAAAAATTCCACACAATAAACAGTCAACAAAAAAGTATTTGACTAATGCTTGGAAAAAAACAATTATTGTCAAGCAATTTGTCACAAAGTAAATGATTTTAAAAAAGATATACTTTCAAAATTCGCTTTCAAAATCTCTAAATTCTAGCCCTTAATGAGAGATCAATTGTATTCACAATTTGTGTGTTAATTAAAGACTCGTTTTTAAAAAGTTAACTCAGATATAGCAGATATAACTAGATAATTAGATTTTAATATTGATAATTGTATAGTCGAGCACACAATAAGTGTCAAGATCCCTTAGATGTCTCGCATTTTCAACACAATATACCTTATTATCACTATTTCTACGAAATTTATGCAAACATCTCATCTAATGATACAATTCATAAATTTTATATCAATTTAAAAATACAATTCACACCATAATTAACATAAAATATATATTAAAATGTTTTTTAATGAGGATATCTTTCCTATTAATGGCAAACAGTTTGCATACGAATAGTCTCATTGTTTTCAATACATTTTGAATTGTTTTCCCCATATTTTTAGATTTTATGTCAGAATCGATTAATTAATAAACAAAATCTTAACGAATAGTCAAACGAACTAAAAGTATAACAAAAAAGAGAAACTTAACACTATTATAATAATTAGTGAACCTTTAAGTTAATGTTTTGCATAATTATTAAACTAATTTATAAATAAATACAAGTATTTCGCAAAACATTTTATATTTTTGTATAAAAATCGTAATTTCAATCTTTTTCTCACCAAAATAAGTCAGGTTTTTGTCAAATAATTAGTGAAATCATAGGTAAAGACATGAAGTAAAGTGTGAGCCGAGAGTTGTGTATCTAATAAACACTTGTCTGATGTGTTGTTCATTATATTAATTGTTTGCAAATATTTCTCTTATTATTATTCTCTCATAACTGGAAATAACTATTCATTTGCAGACCTAATGTTATTTGGCGGCAGAGGAATGACATGAAATGAGAACAACTATTCATTCAATTCATACACATTTCAATACATCTATTCATAATCTCGTATATGAAATATCGTATTAATTAAAAATACATTTATTACTCAATAAGACAAAGGATTCGTGAAACGAAAAGTGGAAGAAATAAATTATATAATAATAATAGGAAAACGTGTTAACACTTCTACATTGCATTTGAATCGCATCTGCAAAACGTATAAACAATTGAAAGACAACTTAAAAGCAAAAGTTTGAGACGAATGTCAATTTCGCAGAGGATTTTCAAAACAAGACTTTTAGTACAGATATTTACTATGGATCGGGAGTGACATAACGTTGTACTGTATCTGCAAATCATGTCTATAAATAAGTTTATTACTAAACAATACATAACAGTCATCGTGTGTTTCGCACAATTGAGACAAATTGTAATGTTTTCTATCGAAAGCCATAAAAATATGAATAAATATATTTCGTATAAATGTTTAATTGAATCAACAAAACGTACTCTAATATTATAATGAAATGATAGCTTAAGATAGCGTTTAATTGACACACAATAGGAAAACCAGAGAGAAATGTATTCACAAGAAACGATTGAGTCATTGGATGGCAACAAATGATCGTACGTTTGGTTACCAAATGTTTGGCTACGAATTGACGCCTTTATTAACGTATTGATCGCTATTACAGTTAAATAACTTATAAAAAAGACAATCCATTCAAACCATTACTATTAAGCCTATGAATCAAACTAATGGCCAAAACAGTTGTGTATTTTTCATATATAAATAGTAATCATAACGTTATAATGGACTGTGGGTTAGGTCAACGTATGATAAGCTGTTGACTCCACACCCAGACAATACAGACAACAATTGAACACAAAGTTTTAGATAAGAATAGAGAAAAATTCGGGTAAAAAAAAGTAAAGTGAAAAACAAATTAACCCTTAAATGGAAACATAAAACTTAAACATAAGTTGTTTGATGGATAGGAAACACCAGAATATCTAACAGAATATAACTGAGTCTAATGTCATGAATGCTAGGTTAACAGTGGAGACAATTTGTGTGCAAAACATGTCGTGTTTTTGGATGCGAGACAAAATCGACGGCGAATACCACACTGTCATCGATGCCATTGGCGTTCAATACATATATTAATATATTCGGCATATTTTTGCTGTGAATTCCCTCCAATAATCATAATAAACAAAACATCTAAACTTCAAACACCGATATTTGGTTCGCAAATAACTTTTCGTATGACTTGTTTTGTATGGTCTCTCTCTTAAACGGGTTGGGAGTGTGGGCTCACCATAAGACCCAACTAAACACTACATATCATATATTCACTGCCTATGAGTTTATAAACACTAAACATCAGTGAGTTATTTGACATTTCTCTCGACTAATACATCACTAATACATCAAATATAATAATATCGTAAATGTAAGAAAATCCCACACTTTTGCACCAATTTTTGCACATAAAACCCATGACTTGTTTGTTGGAAAATAAATTAAATACATATTCTCTCTAAAATGCCATTTGAATGCCGAGTATTACTGAATAAATTACTAGTGTTTTAAATAATAAATAATAACACGACTTAAACACTGCAAATTACCATTCATATAGGAAAAGTCATCTGTAAAATGCATGCAATGGTTATTAAATGACATTTTAGTTGAACAATTTTCTGTTATATTTATCAGTAGTTTTCATCGGCGAGTAGTGTATGAATAAAAACTTTTATACGCTTTTTAACTCATGCTTTCATGCAGTTTTCACATCGATATTCTGTACAAACAATATATTAATTATACAAAACTCACAAAAACTGTATTATTTATAAAACTTATGTCATATGCAAGTGACGAATCAAACACACATTCAACACATATTTAATGATTAGTTTTGCTTTTCATATGATATCACAATTGTTTACAGAGTTTGTGCCAAACCTTCATAAGTATCATAAAACTCTCAATTCATGTAAAAATCAATTAGTTTATCAAAAGCACAGCAAAAATAGATCCACAAAATTAATCATTTCACTAATAATTACTACTTTTTACATACATTTCGCTATTATTTGTAGTACTATTGAGAAATCAATTTAATGGCATGTTTTCAATGAGTGATTGAATTGTAAAAACTGAACGCTATTTTCGCATTCAATTCAATATAAAATATATATTTATAAATATATTCATAATTATTATAATTATAATAAACAACAAAAACAAACAAATAAAAAGTTTTCTCGAAATAAAAAGCAAGAAATTGAGAGTTAATTGAAAATAAAGTGTAATTAATGTGAGAAACGGCTTATAATGGACAGCATGTGCTCTCAGGAGATACTGCGCTCACCGCTGATGACAATGTCTTTGCTCGTGAGAGACAATCACTTACTTGTAGTCCAAGTGATAGAAAATCCAATCAAACACTTCTGGCTCGACATCATTGGGACTAATGGTGTGGTCGGAGAAGAGACACGAGTCGGTCGACTGGCGGTTCCGGAGGACCACCGTCTCCAAGGGGTTGTCACTCTTGGACAGACCGGACACGTCGATGGGCACCGATGTCTTCACCTGCGATGACACTCCGCTACCACTCTTTGTCGTGTCGTACGACTGCAGGAAGTGTTTGAATGAGTTGAACACCAATTCATTGGTTCCACTCATTGCGAGACAAATGAACGGTCGATGCGATCAATGGACGAGTCGTTCAGCGAATGTATCGTTAAATCCAATGATTATTATATTTATGATTATATTATGAGTTATCAATTCAATGGCAATCGAGTCGTGAGACTCACTGACTGTCAGTCTGTGGTCTGTGTGACAGACAGTGAGCGCCGGATATGTGACTTACAAACCAAACACTTATTATTAGTTATTATTAATCGTATGATTGCTATAACGATATGATTATCAGTTGTTGTCTTTACGTATGATTCTCTCAATGAATATTAAAATAATATTTATTTTTTCGCAAACAATCGGTTAGTTTTGGTGTTATTTTAGTCGTCTATTTAGTGTTAGTTTTCAAAACCTATTCTATTAATGAATGCTTTGATTCGATGCCAGCATTCAGTCCATGAGAAATGAATATCCACTCAAAAACACTGCACATTCGGCCGAACATATAGTACGTGCAAAGGGGGCCAACACTCACGAGCATTGAGTGCTATGGAAAATGCTATGGAAATGAATGCATTCATTAGGCAAGCATTGGCTGTCAAACTCCCAGTCATTCAACAAAAAGTTAGTGAATGTGGAAATGAAATGAACTTTATTTTCAAATATTTATATTTTTATGGAAAATTTAATTATTGAACTAAACTCTGGACTTAGTTTATGACTATTGCTGAGACACACACACACACAGTCACCATGAATGCAACTTTTAAGCCGGATAAGTCTGTGCCGATATTTGTTGTCAGGGGATACTCCTCCCACTCCCGGAGTGGAGAAAATATTTTTCATGCGAAACCCGATTACACACAGAATTTCGGTGCAAAAAACGCTACACTTTTTGGCAATCAATCAGACAATCAATTGAATCAAATATTTGCCAAAAATGAGTCGTCGGCTAAAAATTCACACCAAATTTGAATGAAAAAACTTTTATCGCCATTACTTCAGTGTCTATGCGCTGGACTTCGCAAACATATTGTTCGCACTGTATTTGCAGACATTATTTATGGACACAATTGCAGTGTAAGTGTACGATAGGGCGGTGCTGTCGGCAATGCATTGGAGGACCTATTGTGTAATGATAGCGCATATGAGTCATAGGCTTTTAAATTGTTTCAAAAACTTTTTTATTGAACTTTTTTCTCTACAATAAGTTTTTCATCAAATATACGATCAATTGTTTAATAACTGTTTCGCTGAATAGGAAATTACAATTCAATTCACAATCGCAATGTTTGGCTATTATTTTTCAATGCTTTTTCACGTTTATTCACACAAATCACATTCAAACCCATTAATGCATTACAAACATACATACAATTTTTTATTGAATACCCATTTGATACCCCTTTCCCATTACAATAACTTCGTATGAGATACCGGTTAATTGCATTAGAAAAAATATTTTGCATATAATAACCATTAAATTGTTTTTTCCCAATCAATGGTTTTTAAGGAAATAATCATTAAATCTATGTCTGTATCGATGGGCACAGGCACTGAAAAAGTGGTCATTTATTGCATGACACGTCCTTCACGTCTCAATTCATTAATAAACTCAAATATCGGAGACAATATTCATGTAATAATCGGTTTTTGTTTTTAAAAATTAAATAAAAAGTTATTATTTTTTGAATCATTAGATGATTAATGCATTTATGCAATCATTATAAGTGGCGATCGCATTGAAAAGCATTGAATTCGTGTTTCCAAACAGACTATAAATCATTGAAAAAAAAACTTTTGAAATGAAAAATGAGAAAAACGATTGTTTTCTTGTATTTCTCATTGAAATAAGTGGTCAATAGTTACCTGCAAACTATAATTACATTATTTGTAACCCGAAATTGGGTTAAAACAGACACTTGGCTTCAAGTATGACTTCATACCTAATATATTTCGAAATATTATTTATTTTATAATTCAATCAATACTTTTTATTTCCATCTAAAATCTAGTTTTTTGTGTATACATTATTTAGGCAATCATTATATTTTATTTATACCTTTGGCCACAGAATATAATGCAATAAAATCTCTTATAAATTACTTAATAACGCGAGTAATCCATCAAATTATTTATAGCCTGATAGGAAACACACGGGTTTTGATAGTAATGTATTAATTAATTCATACAAACATAATCTCAATACAATTATCTTTTTTCTGGTCGACTATTAAATTACTATAGTTTTCGATAATTTTAGTTTTGCTGATGAGTTGTATTCGTTTGAATCAAACCTTAATTCTTATGTATATATTCCGCAACCAAATGGCTTTTGTGAAGATATCATAATAAGAGGTATTATTTAAAAAGTCATTAAATCTTTGAGATGTCTTAACGGAAATATTTAGTCTAATCTCAATATTGTATATTAGATATGATTATCATATGAAATGTTTTATACTATACAGCATTATATCAGGAATGCTAAGTTATACAATAGCCTCTCTCTCTCTCTCTCTCTCTCTCTCTCTCTCTCGTCATAACCTCTACTCTATATAAAAGTAGTAATTATAAAATGTGAAGTAATGGGTGTAACAAATGGATAATACAAATGAATGACTTCTTCTCCACAATCATATGCACTCTGTTTCACAAAATCACGGCATTTGTTGCTTTCAAATCAATGGCTATTATTCGACAGCATATGAGAGGCTACAGTAAAAGTTAGAGGAGAGCCCCACACGGGTTATGCAATCATTCAAATTAAATGCTTATTTTTTGTGACACATTTCAAAACTATTTGATAATTACTACAAAAGAAGTTTCCTTCTGAACACATACTGTAGCGCATAGTGTAATGTGTGTTGTATTGCAAATGTTGTTCATATAATAGTTAGACTGCGAAAAACCTGTATTAATAGTCCAGTGATTGTGTGTGAATTGAATACAAAGTGAATGAAACACAAAACTTATGAAAAAAACTTTTTTGTAGTTCACAACCCAAACCCCATTCACAACCACCAGATGTGAGCACTTGTCGGACACCACTTCCCACACCTGTGGGTCACGTCATTGGTGTGCGGCCCGTAAGCCATGTCTGTGTCGCCCAACCATTTCACATCCCTTTCCGCACGTATGGTATCACTGCGAGTGTGTCTCCACTCAACTAACAGGTAATTATCACCGCTTTTGATGTCACCCGCGGATCAATTGGCTCGCGTACTCACTGATAACTAGCGCTAATGTCTTTGCCATTAACTCATCCGCAGATACGATGCAGATATTCGTGAAGACGTTGACGGGAAAGACCATCACATTAGAGGTCGAGCCGTCGGACACCATCGAGAATGTGAAGGCCAAGATCCAGGACAAGGAGGGCATACCTCCGGATCAACAGCGGCTGATCTTCGCGGGCAAACAGCTGGAGGACGGACGCACTCTCTCGGACTACAACATCCAGAAGGAGTCCACTCTTCATCTGGTGCTCCGACTGAGAGGCGGCGCGAAGAAGAGGAAGAAGAAGAACTACACGACACCGAAGAAGAATAGCCACAAGAAGAAGAAAGTGAAGCTATCGGTCCTCCGCTTCTACAAAGTGGACGAAAACGGAAAGATCACGCGTTTGAGGCGCGAGTGCACTAACGACGAGTGCGGCGCCGGCGTCTTCATGGCCTCCCACTTCGACCGCCAGTACTGCGGCAAATGTAGCCTCACTTTTGTCTTCAACAAACCCGAAGACAAATAAATGAATGATTGTTTCCATTATTTGCTAATTAATTATTAATAAATGTCTGATAAATGACCGGTTTTTGTGTCTATTTTTGCTCTTTTCACACATGTTTTGATTTCTATACGCTTTCGGCGCCAAAATTGCTGACTATTTGTCACCAAAAATGGTTTATTACGAGAGAAATAGTCTTTGATTTTGGTTTTAATGGTTATGTTTACAAAAAAAAGTAAACGAATAACCGCTAAATGAATGGGTAAACAGTAGGAAAAGGCAAAAAAGCGTGGAGATGCCGGGGATCGAACCCGGGGCCTTTCACATGCAAAGCGAACGCTCTACCACTGAGCTACATCCCCAACGTGTATGAGCTGTCGTCTCATTTGGCGTATTTTTTCTTACACTCGTCCCTACAGTCTGTCAGCAAGTGTTCAAACTTTTCATAACTTGTGTTTTCGTGTGATTTTAATTAAGTTTTATTTAATTATAAATGTATTTATTGGGAATATAATTAAATAAATTTATTATCATTTAAATTAACGACAAATATATCTTTAATCCAATAGAAATTCGCTGTATTTTATGTGCACTTATACTGTAATCAAGTTTTTTCGGTAGACTTATGAGTAAATCATTTACTAATTACAGTAATTTAAGTCAATGTTTAGTTAGAATTGCTTTTTTAGTGTAACTTTTATTATACACTAATGCGAGCATTCATTGCCCGTAACAGTGAACTGATCCCCAAATCATTGATTCACAAAACTGTCGGCAACTCTACGATAAACGGCGACAAACTTTTGTCCGCCATTTCGGGTCACTTTCTGTCCCTCTTCTGTGGCGTCAAAGAGTTTGGGAACAATGGGATCGCTGTCTCTCTCGGACTCATCCAAGCACTCAAACAACGGGTGTCTCGTCAAGTGGTCAGTCATCCAGTCGTACAGCTGTTGGACATCAGTGGCGATATAGACGCGGCCATCGATGGCCATACAGTAGGCGTACTCCGACAGCAACTGCTGTGATATGATTCTCCACTTATGCTTCTGTCTCTTGAAGTGCGGGTCAGGGAAGAGGAAAAACATTTTAGTCAACTGTCCTTTGCTGAAGAGGTTCGGCATATACTTCATGGCATTGCTTCGCAAACAACTTATGTTTTGGTAGGCGTTTGCGCCGCCATTCTGTTGTCTTAAGGCGCGGATCCGGTCGCACACGAAGTCACACACTTTCACCCGAATCTCGATCCCCAACATCAATGTCTTGGGAAACATCGGAGACAATTGGATCAGTAGTCCTCCGTATCCGCACCCGATGTCCGCGAACTCCACGCCTCGACTGTCGCCCAAGTCTACGGTTGGGTAATGTGCGGACCAATCCATGGACAACGGATCCGATGGGTACTCGAAGCAGTGGTCGGCGATTGGGTTTGAATGAGCTCTTTGTCGGTAGAATCGCTTCTGCGGTAACGCCACGGAATCGGTGGTCGCCGTAGAGGTGAGCGACAGCTTGTGTTCGCTGCCATCGGAGTCGGATCCGTGCTCTTCGGTGTCCATAATGTGGGCACAAACTCTTAGACACAAACTCTTAGACAGTGTCTGCGGTCATCAAATCAATGGTTTGTTTCAAAACACATGTCTTTTCCGTTCATAAAAAACATTGCATTTAAAGCGCGAATGCATTGAAAGTCAACACAAATTATGTGTAACTTTTGTGAACTTATTTTAATTCCAAGTTTCAGATGCTTTTCACACATTAATTCAATGTTTAAATTGATTTAGTGTCAAATGAATCAAATTTAGTCATATTGAAATAAATTGTGTGCTAACTCATGGTAATTATGATCATGATTTTGGAAAATAAAATTTTATAATAGTTTCATTGAAAAGATAATAAAATCACAGAATATGATAACGGCCTTATAAAATGTTCTTTGTATTCTTAATACTATGAACAAGGTAGTGTTAAATATATTTATATTAAATTGTGTAATTATTCTTGAATTGTGACCCAATAATGAAATGACAAATGTATTTCCAGACTATAATCCAATTAATGAAAACTTTATCAAATTATAACAAAATTCCTACTTTTGGTAATTGCATTAAAATGTGTGAAAAGTTAATTAAACTGAATTTATAAAATAACTCATAAAATACAAATATCTATAGACTGGATCTCATCTGAAAATTAATACCAAACTAATGATTAATCCCTAAAAAACAAGTAATTCATCAACAGATCCGATGTGAAGACAATCATTGACTTGAACACGAATTGTGAGTCGTTTTTGATGTTTGACTCGTGTTTTGAAAAATGCCTTCAATTTTGAAAGTGTTGTCAATATTTGAGTGAAAAACTAATCAATCGTTGACTCAATTGAAGCGCTCTTCGGGTGATAATCACTTGCCATCCGAAGACATGT